GCTAATCTTCATATTTTGGAGTATTTTTTAGCTGAATCTCAAATTTTTGCAGTTTGGAAGGACAGGGGTCTTCTTACTGTTTCTGAGGGACTTTTTTTCCTGAATCTCAGGGGTTTGGATTTTTCTGGGCTGAATCTTGGTGTTTTGGAGGTTTTTATGGACACAGGGTGCCCAGTGAGTTCTAGAGGTGGACTTGGGCAGGAGGAACCCCCAAGCCAACGTGCTCAGCCCTTGTTTTCCCCCCCAGCAGGATTTCTCCTTCCCAAAGCCTGGGCAAATGGAGGAGGAGGCTGCGAGGAAGAGGAAGATGCCTCGGGCCCCCCAGGCAGGTGAGGAGGAAGTCAGTGCCCCTTTGTCCCGGTCTTGTGCTGCCTCTGGCAGCCAAGCATCGCCCCTGGCTGCAGGACAACCCCGCCGCCGTCCTACCAGGGTGGAGTTGGGGGATGTCCTTGACCTTCACTCTGGGCTGGAGGCAAATCCCCTCCCTGTCCTTCTTCTTTTGTGCCACAGGCCCCGAGCTGAGGACGGAGAGCACAGAGGACAAATCCCCCCGACAGAACCTGGTGGGAGAGGCCATTTTGAACGGCTCCATGGTGCAGGAAGGCAGCAGGGAGGAAAAGGGTCGGAGATCTCCGCAGAGGAGGGGCTCCAAAGCCAACCTGGGGTGCTCTGAGGAGGAAAGAGCCAGCCTGTACCGGGAAGGCGGCCAGAGCTTGAGCCAGATCTCTAACCTGGTGGTCCTTGAACAGCCTCCCACCAAGGAAAAGCCCTTCAAGTGCTTGGAATGTGGGAAGAGCTTCAGAAAGAGCTCCGACCTCCTCACCCACCAGCATATCCACACTGGGGAACGGCCCTACACATGTGGGGAATGTGGGAAGAGCTTCACACAGAGCTCCAGCCTGATCCGACACCAGCACATCCACACTGGGGAACGGCCCTACCCGTGTGGGGAATGTGGGAAGAGGTTCAGGGACAGTTCCAGCCTCCTCACCCACCATCACATCCACACTGGGGAACGGCCCTACACTTGTGGGGAATGTGGGAAGAGCTTCAAGTGCAGCTCTAACCTCCTCATCCACCGTCGTATCCACACTGGAGAACGGCCCTACCCGTGTGGGGAATGTGGGAAGAAGTTTCAGACCAGTTCACATCTCCTCGACCACCAGCGGACACACACGGATGAGAGGCCCTTCCGCTGCACTGACTGTGGGAAGGGCTTCAACCAAAACTCCCACCTCATCATCCACCAGCGCATCCACTCCGGGGAGAGGCCCTACAAGTGTGGGGAGTGTGGGAAAAGCTTCACCCACAGATCTGCCTTGACCAAACACCAACGGACCCACTGGTAAGGAAAGTCCTGCAAGTGCCCCAACTGCAGGAAGAACTTCAGCCACTGCTTCCACCCTGAATGAACCCCCTGATGGTGAGGCAACCCCTGGAGTCCAGTGACTGTCAGTCCGTCCCTTTCAACCCCTTTCACAGGGACAGGTTCTTCCAACAGAACCTATGGTGTATTAATATAATACAAACCACGTAGACCTGGCTAGTTTGGGGGTTCTCAACCAATTCTTCTTTATTCAAATGAGACAACAGTTTATATATGGGTTAACACATCACACCAGCGCGGCGTGCCCGGCTCGGCTCCGGGTGCATGCGCTTGGCATGGCCCGGCCCCGGGTGCTCGAGCCCAGCCCCAGGCATGGAAAGGAGCGAGAGGGGGAGCCTCGCTGGTGCGAACTGTGCCATCGTGGGAGATGAGAGGGGGAGCCCAGAACACACAAAAGAGAAGGACAGCTTGAAACCCAGGCAGATGGAGCTTGTTCAGCCCTGTAAGGCCATCCATCTAAGAGAAGGTCACTCTAATTAAACCTACATCCTGAGGACCTCGCTGTTACCATCCAAGCTCACTTGGCCCTGGCAGGTGAACCTTGGGATTAAAGGGTGGGTTCAGTTCAGTGTATACTGTGTCTCACCTAAAAAATCCATTGTGCAGGCTTGAGGGCTTTACCCACTTTTGCAAAGCCCTGTATCGACATCTTCTACAAATGCAGTCACACAAAGATCAAAAGACAAAGGCATGCACCTGCCTCCACAGGTGTACCTAAATTAACTCTAGCGTGTTGGAATATCAGAACCATGCTTGATTCTGCAGACAGTGGACGTCCTGAGCGCCGGTCTGCCCTGATTGCCCATGAACCGTCACGTCTCAACATCGACATTGCTGCTCTCAGCGAAGTTCGCCTTCATGAGGAAGGCAGCCTCAGAGAACATGGTGCCGGTTACACCCTCTTTTGGTCAAGTAAGCCCAGAACTGAAAAGCATCTCTCAGGAGTCGGCTTCATGATCAAAAACTCTATTGTTCCTAAACTCGAAAATCTGCCGACAGGTCACTCTGACCGCGTTATCTCCCTACACCTTCCACTACACAACAAGCAACATGTTGTCCTCTTTAGTATATATGCCCCAACTCTCCAAGCTGACCCTGCTGAAAAAGATAAATTTTACACAGACCTGCGCCGCCTTACCCAAAGGGTGCCTGCAGATGATAAGATCATTATCCTTGGTGATTTCAACGCCAGAGTAGGAAAGAATTTTGAAGCCTGGAAAGGAATATTAGGCAAGCATGGTGTTGGAAACTGCAACGATAATGGTCGACTTCTGCTAGAATTCTGTGCAGAGCAACAGCTCGCCATTACTAACACTATCTTTCAGCAGCAAAATAGTCTGAAGACAACATGGATGCATCCCAGATCCAAACATTGGCACCTCATCGATTATGTCTTGGTGCGACGGAGAGATGTCTGTGATGTCCACCACACCCATGTGATGCCCAGCACAGAATGCCAAACAGACCATCGACTGGTGCGCTGTAAACTTAACCTCATTCTTAAATTCAGACCTAAAAGGGGCAGCATCCCAAGGAGGAGACTCCAAGTTAACGATCTCCAATCAGCCACAGTGAGAAAGAAATTCCAGGCTAATCTTCAAACTAGGCTTGATGACCATTCCACAGATTCTGCAGATACCTCTCCTGTAACACTCTGGCACCATATTATAAACAGCATCCAGCAGTCCTCTGTAGAATCCTTAGGGTTCTCCTTCAAGAAGAACAAGGACTGGTTCGATGAAAACAATCAAGAGTTCCAGGAAATGTTGAGGAAGAAGAGAACTGCTCACCAAGCACACCTTGCACTGCCATCCTGTCACATAAGAAAAACAACTTTTCGCATCACATGCAGCAAACTACAACATAAACTCCGTGACATCCAGAACAAGTGATGGATCAGTCTAACTGAAAAAACACAATTATGCACAGACACAGGTGATCACAGAGGGTTCTGTGAAGCCCTGAAAACAGCACATGGGCCTACATACCAAGCTCAAAGTCCTCTACTCAGCGCTGATGGTCAAACACTTCTAACAGATAAAACCTCCATTCTGAATTGATGGTCTGAACACTTTCAGCCCCTTTCAGTACCAGCCGTGTAGTCCAAGACACAGTCATTCAGTCCATCACACAACAACCGGTGAAGTATGAACTGGATACTTCCCCCACTGTAGGAGAGACCCTTAAGGCCATACAGCAGGTGAAAATTGGCAATGCAGCTGGGGTTGATGAAATTCCACCTGAAGTCTGGAAACATGGGGGCCTTGCACTCCATGCTAAATTTCACGAGTTCTTACTATGCTGGGCCTGCCCAGAGCCTTTGTCTGCCTGCACTCCTGGCCTCCAAGGATCTGCTCCAAGGAGTCCCTGGGGAGGCTTTGTCAGTGCCTGCCCTCAGTGGGGCCCAGCAATGCTTCAAGGGACTTGGAGTTTGGCTTCTGACTTCTTGAGCAGCTTCTTCAGTCTTCTCTCATTATGTGAGGATGATGGACTCGTCGCTAAACACACTGTGGGGCTCATTAAAATCCAGAAAAACAATTTCTTCCTTAATTGTCTTCACGTCTTCAAGACATCAACAACTTATTAGAGTTGTTTTGTAATTTAGCTAAGCAGGAAGATTTCAAAGTGGATGTCACGAAAAATATATTTTTTGATGAAAGGGAATGATTTACACAGAGCCTTGGGATGCAAGAGGGTCAGGGTGCAAAGAATTTGGATCCAAAGACAAGGGGGCAAAAGAGATTAGTAGCATTTAATCATTGACCACTTGAACAGTTATCAAATGATTCAATAGCATTTGGTAATAATTTACCAGTGACTTAATTTAGACATTCACAATAACAACACTCACACCACAGTCAATTCACATCCACACCCAGACAGAGATGTGTGGACACATGAATATCTGGGTATGTAAAGGTCCTTCTCCAAAATTCTCCTTGTTGTCAGGGAAACATTCCCACAAATCCCTTTGCGCTTCCCAGCAGACAAGGTTCCACGAGGCCCTGCAGTGTCACAATGGCCCCTTTATTCCCTGATTTTCCACAGTGTCACAATGACCTCTTCATACCACAAGTTTCTCTACTTTCCATGTTGCTTTTGGTTCATTGAGAACCTGCATTGTTTCAATGGGCCCTTGATTCTGCAAGGTTTGACAGTGTCACAATGGTCCCTTCAGCTCCATGTGGCCCTGCAGTGCCACAATGGCCCTTTGATTCCATGGGATTCAGCAGTGTCATAGTGGTCCCTTCATTCCATGAGTTTCCACAGTGTCACAATGGCCCCTTGACTCCATATGGCCCTGCAGAGTCACAGTGGCCCTTTGATTCCAGGAGATTCCTCAGGACAACACCTGGGAGGTCACCATGGAGCCCTGGGACATCCCGTGACCTCCCGGCTCTTTAGGAGCCCTGAGAACTTCAACAGGGGAAAGTGCCGGATTCTGCCCTGGGATGGGGCAACCCCGGATGGACGGACAGACTGGGAAGGAGAGGCTGGAAAGCAGTGCTGGGAAAGGGCCCTGGGGGTGCTGGTGGGTGGCCAGTTGGCCCTGAGTCAGCAGTGCCCTGGCAGCCAGGAGGGCTAAGCCTGTCCTGGGAACATCGGGCCCAGCATGGCCGGGCCAGGGAGGGGATTGTCCTGCTCTGCTCTGCCCTGGGGCGGCCTCACCTGCACCATTGGGGCAGTTTGGGGGGACACAATGGAAGGGAGAAATTGAGCCATTAGAGAGTGTCCCAAGGAGGGCAAGGAAGATGGGGAAGGGCCTTGGGGGGAAGCCATGTGAGGACACTGAGGGCACTTGGTGTGTTCAGCTGGAGAAGAGGAGACTGAGAGGAGACCTCACTGCAGTTCCAACTTCCTGGGGAGGGGCAGAGGAGGGGCAGGCCCCGAGCTCTGCTCTGTGGGGAGCAAAGACAGGACTGAGGGAATGGTCTGGAGTTGTGTCAGGCGAGGTTTAGATTGGATTTTAGAAAAAGGTTCTTCCCCCCAAGGGTGGTTGGGCACTGAACAGGCTCCCCAGGGCAGTGGGCACAGCACCAAGGCTGACAGAGTTAATTAAGCTTTTGGATGGTACCCTCCGGCTCATGGTGTGACCCTTGGGGATGGTCCTGTGCAGGTCTAAGGGTTGGACTGGATGATCCTTGTGGGTCCCTTCCAATTCAGCATATTCTGTGATTGCGTGTTTGTGTTTGGTTGGGTTGTGTTTGGTCTTTTTGCTCCTCTTTTGAATTGCCTTTCCTCTGACCCATGAGTTTTTCTTCATTGTCTTGGGTCTTGGTGGGCACCTGATGGCAAGACAAGTTTATCCAACTCACTCATCTTGACCAAAGTTTTGGTACAAGTCACCATTAACTAGACGAGCTTTCTCACAGACTCACTGCAGCTTGGCATCATCCACAAAGGAGTGGGAAGTGCATTTCATCCCATCATCCAGAGACCTAATAAAGATGTTCCAGAGGAATGGTCAAGGGCTAGTCCCTGATGGATGTCACCTGGGAGTTGCTGCCAAGAGAAATTTGTGCCATCACTTTTGACCCTCATCAGTCGTTCAACTTCGCACCCACCACATGTTTCACTTGTCCAATCCAGCTGTCACCAGTCTGGCTCTAAGGAGACCACATGTCAAGGGCCTTGATAAAGTCTGGGCACACAACATCCTCTTCTTTTCCCTCCCACAGGGGTTCTGCAATCCCTGCCTTGTCCTTCCCATGCCTGGGAATGGCTGCAGGAGGACTTGCCCTATCCCCTTTGCAGCCTGAGCAGTCTGGAACTCTGCCAACCCTCCTTGTGTCCTGTTTGCAGACTGCTGCCATGCCTGCCTTTGCCAAGCCCCAGGAAGCTCTGGGATGGCTCTGGCCTTTCCAAGGGTTTGGGAGAGGTCTCCCAGTGACACTGCCTATCCTTCTCAGGATCCCTGACACCACAACCTTTTCAATACCCCACAGTTCCAGTTTAGTGCTCAGGACACAACACTTATTCTCATAGTTCTTCAGGAGAATATTAGAAGGGATTTCATTATAGAGGTCAACTGGTGGAGCAGCCCAGCCTGGTCTGGCCCCACAGCAGTGCCCAGCCCAGGGGGCTGCAGAGCTCTGGGTACTCCCCCCACAGCCCCAGCCCCTCTGAAGGACACAGCAGCTCCTGGGGCACAGAGAGCAGTCTCAGCATCCCCATCAGCTCAGGGGCTGGACACTCAGCATGGCAGGAGGAAATGGAGGTCAGGGAAACTGCAGGAGCCCTGGTGTC